TAACTTTCAAACACTACAAACGACCATTTCTGAATTAAATCATAATTAGATTCTTCAAGTTGATTATGTTGCAAACATTCTCGATAGTCTTGTTTTTTAAACAGATATGTTTTAAATAGCAATTTATTCTGAAATTAGTTTATTTTAACACAGCATCTCAAGAAATGNAGATTTTAAGATCGGATCTCTAACCTAACTTTCAAACACTACAAAACACCATTTCTGAATTAAATCATAATTAGATTCTTCAAGTAGATTATGTTGCAAACATTCTCGATAGTCGAGTTTTTTAAACAGATATGTTTTAAATAGCAATTTATTCTAAAATTAGTTTATTTTAACACAGCATCTCAAGAAATGAATTCTTTTACGAAAAAAAGAAATTGACAATAAATATTAGAATTTAAATTTATTACAAAAGAAATAATAAAGAATGAACCTATCGTACGATTATTCATATAAATATATTAATACTTTTCCAAAAGAATTTTATCATAACATAAAATTGAATACGGATAACTTCCAAAATATATCTACCTACAGAGAAGATGAANTTTTAACACAGCATCTCAAGAAATGAATTCTTTTACGATAATAAGAAATTGACAATAAATATTACAATTTAAATTTATTACAAAAGAAATAATAAAGAATGGGCCTATTGTACGATTATTCATATGAATATATTATCACTTTTCCAAAAGAATTTTATCATAACTTAAAATTGAATACGGATAACTCTAAATATATATCTACCTACAGAGAAGATGAATCAAAAAAAATGATAAATAAGCATTTTTTCTTTTTTAAATTTTTATGTGTGGGTACGCACCAAAAGTTAATTTGCATTTATTCTATAAATCATATCAATTAACCCTGACATATAAATCATAAGTTCAAATACAAACATAATATAATCTACAGCTTATTATCAACCATGAGTTTTTCAGTCTACCGTTATAGAGAAACACAATTATATCGTTATACACCTTCGACAATTAATCAGAAATCTACACATTCGTATATTTTTAAATTCTTAAACCAAACCTACAGTTAATAATCGTGAAGACAATATATAATTTAGGAATATTAAAACAATTTTTTAAACGTTATGAAATATTCTAGGCTTACCTAACTATTACGACGAAATATATCTAACCAAATCTACTTTTACTTGAGTAATGATTTTAAAATCGGATCTTTAAACTAACTGCCCAAAACCACAAACGACCATAACAAAATCTTAATTGAAAATTTCTAGTTAATTATGTTGGAAAAAATTTCGATAATCTTGTTTTATAAACAGATGTTTTAAATAGCAGTTTAATCTGAAATTAGTTTATTTTAACACAGGATCTCAAGAAATAAATTCTTTTACGATAATAAGAAATTGACATTAAATATTAGAATTTAAATTTTTTTACAAACGAAATAATAAAGAATGGGCCTATTGTACGATTATTCATATAAATATATTATTACTTTTCCAAAAGAATTTTATCATAACATAAAATTGAATACGGATAACTTCCAAAATATATCTACCTACAGAGAAGATGAATGAAAAAAAATGATGAATAAGCATTTTTTCATTTCTAAATTTTTATGTGTGGGTACGCACCAAAAGTTAATTTGCATTTATTCTATAAATCATATCAATTAACCGTGACATATAAATCATAAGTTCAAATACAAACATTATATAATCTACAGTTTATTATCAACCATGAGTTTTTCATTCTACCGTTATAGATAAACACAATTAATTGAATACGGATAACTCTAAATATATATCTACCTACAGAGAAGATGAATGAAAAAAAATGATGAATAAGCATTTTTTCATTTCTAAATTTTTATGTGTGGGTACGCACCAAAAGTTAATTTGCATTTATTCTATAAATCCTATCAATTAACCCTGACATATATTCATAAGATCAAATACAAAAATAATAAAATCTATGAGTTATTATCAACCGTGAGTTTTTCATTCTACCGTTGTAGAGAAACACAATTATATCGTTATACACCTTCGACAATTAATCAGAAATCTACACATTCATATATTTCTAAGTTCTTAAACCAAACCTACAGTTAATTTTCGTGAATACAATATATCATTTAGGAATATTAAAACAATTTTTTAAACGTTAGGAAATATTCTAGGCTTACCTAAATATTACGACGAAATATATCTATCAAATTCTACTTTTAGTTGTGTAAAGATTTTTAGATCGGATCTCTAACCTAACTTTCAAACACTACAAACGACCATTTCTGAATTAAATCATAATTAGATTCTTCAAGTAGATTATGTTGCAAACATTCTCGATAGTCTTGTTTTTTAAACAGATATGTTTTAAATAGCAATTTATTCTGAAATTAGTTTATTTTAACACAGCATCTCAAGAAATGAATTCTTTTACGATAATAAGAAATTGACAATAAATATTAGAATTTAAATTTATTACAAAAGAAATAATAAAGAATGGGCCTATTGTACGATTATTCATATAAATATATTATTACTTTTCCAAAAGAATTTTATCATAACATAAAATTGAATACGGATAACTTCCAAAATATATCTACCTACAGAGAAGATGAATGAAAAAAAATGATGAATAAGCATTTTTTCATTTCTAAATTTTTATGTGTGGGTACGCACCAAAAGTTAATTTGCATTTATTCTATAAATCATATCAATTAACCGTGACATATAAATCATAAGTTCAAATACAAACATTATTTAATCTACAGTTTATTATCAACCG